ATGCAGATTTGAGTATTACAGGATGATTCAAAACAAAATTTAAATCATGCATTTAAAATTCACTATTTAGCAGTAAGAAGAACAGTGTTATCAGTCATGAAAGTGAATTATCAAGGATCTCTAAACTCAGCACTCCATCAAGATTTAGGGTTATTAGAAGAAAAATGTGTATACTGGACCCGGAGCTGGATGAAATTGTAGTCTAACAGTGTAGATGACACTAGCATGCAGACGTGACACTGCCGGACAGCATTTCAGTCTTTCCTTTGGTGTGGAATAAAAGCCTAGAAAGTGTTTAGAAAATGGCAAACATTATTATCAAGGAAAATTTCAAGGAAAATGTGGAACTTAATTTGATTCCTGAGGTATAGTCAAAACTTGAGGTGGGTGCATTCAGGGCAATACTAGAGTAAGCTAAACAGGGGGGAAGCATGGCTTTCCCAGAGGCCTGTCAACAGACATGCTCGGCTACAGCAGGGACTGGGCATACAGGGGACTACTATATACGTCACGTGCTTAGGTTTGGGTCGGATATTTGGAGAAGTAAAAACCAGGTTGAGGCAGGAAGAGGTGAGAGCTGCATTTATTATCACAGGACTATTATAGGTTGCTGAAGGTGGCATATGATAACAAACTAGTATTTTCAGAAGATGACTCTGGAGGTGGTTTGCAGCCTGTGTTATAGGAAAAGTACCTTCTGTTAGGGAGATAAGCCAAGATTTCTGACTCTAATCTAGTTAAGAGGTGCTAAGAGCCTGCACGTGGGCTGTGAATGGTGAAGACAAAAAACTAAAATCTGAGAGAGATATTTTAAGGGGAAAACTTAAAGTCTCAGAGATAGGTTGGATATATGAAATAGAGGTGAAAGACAAGGATAAAAGAGATTGACTTCTGTTTCCAATGATTGCAAGCCTGATGTTACCATGTCTGATCGAATACAGTTGGAATAGCTGTTCTTAGTGAATATAAATAAATCAGCTTAGTCTAGGATTTAGTGATATTCGGGACCACATGGTTCTGGGTGCTTTTAGAATATGCAGGTGCTATTCTTAGACTGGGCAACTACAGACCCTTCCAGAAGTGAGTAAGAGATGGCATGAGTAACATTCATGGAGTGCCCTCTGTGAGCCACGGGATGGGTTTTGTGCCCTCACATGACATTTTAGCTAGTTTTCACTATGATGATAATTGTCCTTCCATAAGCACTAGTAGGTATAGGGCCTTCCCTGAACACAATGACATAGATTTTTTAAAAAAATCCATTTAATTCTTACAAAAATCTTACAAAATAGGTATCATTAAGTCCATTTTACAAATTAGGAAGCTGGACGAAGCTTTTTACATACTTGGCCCAAGATTGTACAGCTACTATCTTACTGGTTGGACAGAGACATTCTCAAGAATCTGGTCAGTCTAACTTATGACTAAGTTAAAACTCAAGCCATTTCCAAAAGTCATATGTACAAAGGAAGTGATGGCATTTGGAAAACCACTGAAATGAAGCCAGGTTTCGTTATCTTTGTTTCTCTCTGCAATCTATTCCTCATGGACTCCATTCAGATAGGTCTCACTAAAGCTCAGCTTTGACGGTGCCATATCCCATCACAACTTCTGCTAGTTCTTTGCTATATTAATAGCACTTTCTGGGAAGCATTAAGACATAAGAAAGTAGATTCAGTTGGTTTAAAGGCAACCAGTAGTGTAAGTGTCAGTCAAAAGCAGATCAACTTTATACTAAAATTTTCATACAATAGTTCAGGAAGAAAGTATAGATGATACTAAATACATAAATGTTTAGAGGTAAATATCCTCTGTTTAACCTAGGCAAAAAAATCTATAAATTAATAGATAGAGTCTTATAATTGCTTAACATTAAAAACCAAAACAGCACAGAGGCTGAAGTTATTTTTAAGAAGGCTATATATATTCTTCTGGATACATGAGGACTTATATAAAAATATCAAGTCTTGTTTCATGAACCAAACACCCACAGGAACCCCGGAGATCATGGTTTACAGCAAATCAGGCTAAAGTTAGCCGGAAGCCTCGGGTCTTGGGAGAGCTTAGTAAGAGGGCAGCCACTTTTCCCTGACTCTGCCTTACACCCTTCAGTGGTCCCTGGTTAGCCTGTGTCCTGAGTAGAACTCAGGATTTAAATACATTTACAGCTTATATTGTGCTTTGCTGTAGTGACCAAAGAGTCATCTTCATGTACACTCTGATCTTTTGTTAAGAATAAGACGTTAGGGACATGCTGTCTGAACTGAATTAGATATGAAATCCTTAGATTTTAAAAAGCAGAGTTTATCCAGAGGTAGCACCTTCTTTCCTATAAAAGGAAAGGCCTAATTTCTTACAACACTAGGAAGAGGATCAAGACCAAATATAAATATGTAACTGGAGAGTGCCTGGGCTAGAAATATAGATTTTGGAGTCACAGATGAGAGGAACCACTAAAACAAAAGAAAGAAAACAAGAAAAACAAAATGGAATATAAAACAAGAAAAAAATTTCAAGATGCCCTGATTATCAATAAGACCGTTAGCAATGGTAACTTTGAGGAGAATGATTCCCATAGAATGAAAAGGGCAGAAGATATACCTCATAGAGATTAAATGGGGGAAGGAGAAGAGGAGTCAAGTAAAGAAACTTAAAATCTCCAAAAGCTTTTCTATTAGGAAAGGTAGCAATGCATAGTTTTATTTAATTTTCTTTAAATTTATTTATTTTTATTTTTGGCTGTGCTGGGTCTTTGTTGCTGCACGTGGCCTTTCTCTAGTTGTGGCGAGAAGGGGCTACCCTTCGTTGCGGTGTGTGGGCCTCTCATTGTCATGGCTACTCTTGTGGCGGAGCATGGGCTCTAGGTGCATGGCTTCAGTAGTTGTGGTGTGCGGGTTTCAGTAGTTGTGGTGTGCGGGTTTCAGTAGTTGTGGCTCGCGGGCTCTAGAGCACAGGCTCAGTAGTTGTAGCACACAGGCTTTGTTGCTCCGTGGCATGTGGGATCTTCCCGGGCCAGGGATCAAACCCATGTGTTCTGCATTGGCAGGCAGATTCTTAACCACTGCGCCACGGGGGAAGCCCAGCAATGCATATTTTTAGAGCGTTCAAACTTTAAACACATTGTGTTTTTTTTCAAGAAATAAAAATAGGAGGGGCTTCCCCGGTGGCGCAGTGGTTGAGAGTCCGCCTGCCGATGCAGGGGGCACAGGTTCGTGCCCCGGTCCGGAAAGATCCCACATGCCGCGGAGCGCCTGGGCCCGTGAGCCATGGCCGCTGAGCCTGCGCGTCCGGAGCCTGTGCTCCGCAACGGGAGAGGCCACAACGGTGAGAGGCCCACGTACCGCAAAAAAAAAAAAAAAAAAAAAAAGAAATGTATGAAGGATGGCAAAATAACTTGAAATACAACGAAGAAATAAATTCTGATATTCTCTAACTTCAGTTTATAGTAAAGATATAATTAATGAAAGATGCACTTTATGGGGAAAGTAAGAGGAACGGGCTCCTACAAGATCAGAAATAAAACCGAAATATTTTTATAGATGCTTAGCAAGAAAAAAAAAAGAAAACTAATATTTTTTAATGGCCCAAATTTTTAAAAAAATGAAATAGTTTTGGTCTTCTTAAAACTGAGAACTCAACATGTTTAAGTAATTTCTATGTGTAATTTAAATCATTGTTAGACGTTTTATTACAATAACCAAACACTTCAAAAAAATAAAACTGTCTTTCATAATTGAGGAAATTTCAAATGTAAATATAATTTAACCGAGTAATAGCTGAAAATGATTGAAGAAAATGTGTTCATTTTAAAAAAAGTACTTAATTGTACTTTTGAAATGCAAGTCACAGTTTGTTTTTCTCATTATCCTGTGTGTATGTGTGTGTGTGTGTTTAAGAAAAATTTTTAAATGGCGTGTGTGTTGGGGAGGGGTGTTGAGGGGCACTACAGAGAAACGTATCTGCTTAACTGAAACAACGCTCCCTACCGTTTTATTCCCACAAAAGCAAGAATAACTTGTCCTATAACAAGATGACTCATACACTAGCTGTAAAAAGAAAACACAACCGATGGGGGGAAAAACCCAGCCCCATAAACGTTTTTGAACCAAACTGTAAAACATGGCTATTCTTAAAAATGTGCATTCTAATTAATTTCCAGAAGTACAACATGAAACACTAGAGGTACCATCTAACAACTGCATTTATTCCAGAAGTCACTTGAAGCAGCTTTGACAATTAAGCAAACTAGGTAGAGTGCTAAGATTTCCTGGGAAAGACCAAGTGACCTCTCCTTTCTCGATCGTCAATACCATTAATGACTAGCGTTTACATCCGTATCTGTTATCCCTCAATTTATGATTTAAATAAAGGAGCAAGGCAACACCATGTTGTAAAGAAGGGTTAGGTGAGTTCTTAGAAGCATCAAGAACTAAAATATGGACCACCTGCATCTCTACCTAGTCATGTGGTCATTGATGATTTGCACAGATTTTTCTTGGTCTTAGTGTCCTCACTATAAAATTAATATACCACATTATTCATTGTGCTACCCTTTTTAAGCCCATAGATTCTATGATTGGAATAAATTTAGAACATATAGAATAGAAAATTTTACCAGAATAGTGTTTTCGGGCAGAGGGATAGCTGAGCTCTACCCAGTCAGTATCCCAGGCTCACTGCCCACCCACAGCCATGGTGTCTGATTACCTTCCTGGCAGCTCCTAGAACTCCATGGAGCACAGATTGAACACCTTATGACAGTATTACCTCTAAGGTTGTCACTAGCTCTAAAATTCTCGATTCTATGAGGACAAATCTGACCTTGACATTTATCCCTTTGGGAGCCACACATGGTATAAGAGGCCCCCATGAATTTATGCTAACTTGGACTTAGTCTAAAATTCAGGATGGCCTTCCAGGATAGGACTCATCAGAGAACATGGGATATACCATCTTCATCGTGAGTGAATGCTAGAGATTTATCCTTCGATGTTACTCACTGTGATCTGACACCAAACACAATGCAGTCCTGTCAAGCCCTGGTAACATTTAACTGTTTTGTGGCACTTATCACACTTGGTTGGGCAGTTGCCTTCAACCCAGTAATGATGCATCACCTAGAACACAACAGAAGCACTGTGGTAAGAGGAGGCATCCATAAACACCACCCTCAAAAAGCAAGCATGGCCACACACTTACATCAGTGTTCTTCTTGGACTTTACGTAAGTCTTGATGCAAGAAGGAGGTGCTCTAGCCACGCAGCGCTCATGGACTGTGTACTTGCAAACTGAAAGGAAACATGTACGCAAATTCAGAGCTAATCCTGGTCCTGATTGCAATTTTATACAGAAAGAATGACATTAACAGAAGCTCGTTTCATAGCCACTGCTCCCTAATCAATCCAATCAGCCACATGAAGGAAAAGTCCAACTCGACTGTTTTTTACCATGGAATACAAAAGGCCAATTAGTACAGGAAATATTATGCATGTGAAGAACCAAGACTCCTCTATCATGGCAATAGCAGGAAATGCTTAATTAAATCAGGCCTCACTCAAATTTTTCACAATAATTCCCAGATGACAAACATACTAAAGACAAATTGATGACTGCCAAATGGCTTGGTGTCATTTGCTAGAAGGAAGAGATCTATATTTTACAAAGTATAGGCATGAGAGCAGCTGGCGGGCATGGGAATAAAAGCCCATGAGTTTATGCTATTTTGTCTATTGATTTATCTAAACCTTAAATGGCTGATTAGTCTATTTCCAGAGAATAGATTTCATCATATGCCAGGCCTTCAGCTAAACTTCATCCCTCATTGCCATCGTGGCACTGTTTGTCCAAAAGGAACAACCTTTGCTGGGCAGCATACTGTATATATATATATGCAAAATTTTACATGTATCTGCAAATATGTATAGAAACACATGTACAAACATATGTATCTGTGTGTATATAAAACATATAATGTATATAAAAAAACCAACACGTACACTTTATTGGCATCTTTAAATTACTTCATGGCTTGATTCTCAATATAACTCAGGGTCATATACAGATATTCTTTAATAAAACACTGGTTTCAAATTAAGAATTCTAAATGCATAAACACATAGAATAAAAATTAAGTAAAAAACAACCCAGCAGCTCTCTCAATATAACAAACAAAAATTAACCACTGCCTGAAGTTAGAATGAAAATATAATATTTCTATAGTAAAACTATTCCCAGATATCCACTTCTGTGATTTCCTTTGGCAACACTGAGGAAGAAAATGCAGTTTCTCTTCTCTTCCATATTGGCAATAATGTTGAGTATTACGTTTGCACAGTAATCAGTTAAGATTTGTGAGCAAGGTTCTCACTCTTATATGATATTGCCCATGCTATTTGAGAATTACCATTTTGTTTCATAAGCTCCCATCAATAGACAGTACCATGAAAAATTATTTTCCTTAAAAATAATAAAACTTTGAAAACAAATTACTTCCTTTGTACATGGAGAATGTCCTGGTATACATAGCCTTTTAAATGTGGCCGCTAGAAACTGCCCTCTAAAGCGGCACGAGGTAATTTTACGTAACTTTATTAGAATCCTTAAACACGTAAGAAATCATAAGTGTACCTACTATATGGTTTTTAATGTAAAATAAAACATCTGAGAGAAAGTCAACTCCCAAATATGCTACCAAAGAAGCTGTTAGCTAAAAATAATATCTGAAAATTATGTATTATATGGAAGCCAGGTAAAAAATTAGATTTAATATAAATGCACGAAAATGGGATATGTCTAATAAACTTGACAATTTCAGTAACTCCATACACTGCAGAAAAGGGCGTGGATGGACTACGTGCTGGACCAAGACAAAGTCACACTTTAGTGAGGAGGACTCAATATTCCCTGGTTTTTTTTTTTTGGCGGTACGCGGGAGACTCTCTCTCAACAGTGAGAGCACTGTTGTGGCCTCTCCCGTTGCGGAGCACAGGCTCCAGACGCACAGGCTCAGCGGCCATGGCTCACGGGCCCAGCCGCTCCGCGGCATGTGGGATCTTCCCGGACCGGGGCACGAACCCGTGTCCCCTGCATCAGCAGGCGGACTCTCAACCACTGCGCCACCAGGGAAGCCCTCCCTCTGTTTTAGCAGAGGCATCAGGGAATGCAAAAGTTCCTCAGGTATACATGTTGTTTATTTTAAAACTTCTTAAGTGCCTTTTATAAATTGTTACATATACTACCAAAAAGTACACCATAGAATAAAATAAATATTGTAAAGATAAGTGTACCGAAATAAAAATAATGGCCACAATTCATGAACTGGCAACACTTTGGGGTCTAATATCCATTAACCATATATTAGATTTTCTTCGTTATAGAATTAAGAATCATGTGCCTGAGGTATAAGATTAGTGCGTACTCCTTGTGATTTCTTAGTTTGAATGGAAACCGATAATCAATCATCTTTAAAAAACTGAAAGGAATTAGCTCATTATAGGAAGACAATGTGAATAAAGCGATAACTTAGGGAGGGAAAAAAGACAAATATGCATAAGATATAAATATGAGAGACCAATGGATATTTTCATAATACTCCCAGAAGAAATGGGAACCATGAATAAATTAAACTACAGTGGAAAGAAAATGGCTAGTGAATTGGGAAATGTCCTTATTTCTTTTCCAAGAAGAAGGTTTTCCAAAATTGAAGAAAGTTAAAACTAGAGTGATCTAAACCTTCAGAAACATACTTCAGGGAAAGATAAATCATAGGTACGGGAAGGGTCAGGTGATTTCTTAACTCCGTCTACAAATAGGACTATTCCACGAAATCAATCGCTTCTCACCAGAGGTGATGACATCCGGGCAAAGCAAACATACTCACAGGAGCAGCAGAGGCCCTGCTTCCCCACGCCGATCAGCATGTTCAAGCAAAGATTGCAGTAGGCAGGTTTGTTAAAGTGCTTGAGTCGCCACACGTGCTGTCCGTCATCCTTCACATTCTGCACGGGACGCAAGAGAAAAAGATTTCACTTAATGAAGTAAACAGTGGAATATGTAAGTGCCAATAAAATTCAGAGCTGGACTGAAGCATTTGAAGACAATCTGTTATTTCATCTCTGACTTTCTCCAAGATTGCCACGGAGCCTAGAAAACCACATGTGCTCTAGTGGAATGAGATCCTGCTAACAAATATCGGATGCTATAGCAACCCACAAATTCTTGCCTAACATCAACAGTTCAACAGCAGGTCCCAACCATCATAACCGTCCGCCAAACTGAGCACTCCTCAGAACAGAGGCGTGTTTGCCTCACCTCTGTATACTTTACTCCTAGCACAATTCCATAAACAAATCAGTGAATAAAGGAAGAGAAAATACTCGAGTGGAAGATTCTGAGAGATGAAAACCTTGACAGAATATGTTAACCCTTGCTTAATGGTAGGAATATGCAAATTTTATGATGGTGGTTAGCTCTTATAAGGAGGTAGAAGGGTGGGATGGGATGGGAAAGAATGACACTTAAAAGTAAGTTATTCATGATATTCTAAGGCTTCAGTTGGGGGATTCCTTATATGTTATAATTGACACTAATATATTTTTGTATGTCTCAAACAGAAAATTTAAAAACATAAACTTTTATGAGGCTCTAATTACATTATTATTTTACTTCTCTTTTACAAAATATGAATGATTTTAATCTCATGGAAAGATGGCAAAAATATTACAACTATATTACTGTATTTACTTATAACAGTCTCTACCATTATTTGCCACAATAAAACCTTGAGTTCAATTAATTCACATTTTAGCAAAACGACTGTAATTATTATTTATTCTTCTAAGTAAAACTCTATATAATATTATAATAGCTATTCTCTGTTAGATACATTAGATACATTGAAGTAAAATGAAATAATATGATGCTTAAGATTCCTTACAAGGAGGTGAAGATATTAAATGAAGTTTTATACATCATTACTTTTATTACCATCATTTTCTGTATTAACATGTAGTCCTTGTACATCATGTACCAAACTATATCAAACTCAGATTAATTTTAGACATCATTTATTGGTATTCTATAGAAACCACTGCAGGTCATGGTTTTTTAGGTTAGTCAAGTTGCCATACTTCTTAGAACACGTTGAGCTAATACTTTTTTGAGCACCTATTATGTGCTGGGGCACTAATACAAATTCTGTGGTAGTGAGACAGTATAAACATGTCCAGATCATTTTGTTTCTCTGGATAATAAAATATTAATAATAATGCTTCCTAACTACTTTTTCCTATTCCCTATCAAGAGATAAACCACCAGATTTGAAGTACTCAATTGAATCCACAGTAACTAATTCCTACATTAGAACCAGAAATGTCAAATTTGCATCATAATATGAAACATTAATGAAAATGCTTTCTGGGAGATAATTCTCCATGGGTCTCTTGGATTTCTGCACATTTTGTAAGCAGAAGAACTGTCCTTTTCTCCAAGTTATCTTTTCAAAGTTGTTTGAATAACATACAGCCTTGCACAACAGAGATGTGCAGAGGGCAGGTTTCCTTACTGTCCGGTGTAATAAAGATAATTTCTCCCTTCTAAGCAAAGGTTTAGCAAGTTTGTTTACTGTGTATTATAAAAGATTTAGTTTTCCCAAGCCAGGGGTTCTGAGCTCTGATGCGGTGCAAGGCAATTACTTGGACCTCTCTCCATCACCCCTAAGAGACTTTATGGGCCAGGAGAACTAGCTCAGATGTGAAGCTCCTATTGCTTCTTTGCTGTGAGTAAACAAGTTTTTGTTTCTGACCCAGGCACTCATGTCCTCTGCCAGCACCCATGGAACTGTGGCAAGCTCACTTGTTCACTTGCAAGTAGGGTAACTCTCAGAGCCTTCATGGTTCTTGACAATGCTCAGCCTCATTTTCCTGACAAAGAACTAACAAGTTCTCAGCAAAAGCACTTCTGCAGAAGGTGCCATGGAGGAGACATCAGAAGACAATGGTGTTTCAGGTTTTTTTCCAAAGCTTAAGAAATAGGTTTTATAGTGATTTCTGAATCCAGTTCTGGTCTGCTCAAGTCATATGATTTCTAGTATCTTTATTATGTGAATGGAATGCTTTATATATTTGTTTAATTTTGCTATAGCTTCCAAACTATCTATGTTTTAAAATTTCTATTCCTTCAAATAAGAGTAAGATATCCTGATGTTAAAAGTTAAAGAGGTTAATTTTTTTCAAACATATTGATAGTTAGCATTAAGTATTAGCTTAAATAATTAGATTAATGCTTAAAAAGACATTTTTAAGTGAAAAGGAGAAAAGAAAATTTAATTTTCGTATGTATTACTGTTCTTATAAGCCTTGTCATTTTATTTTTAAATGAGTGTCCATTACATGTGAATAAGCCTTCTCTTGTTGAAGAGCACATATGGACTAAGTTAGCTGGCATTTTCCTTATCAAAAAATAAACAAGTCTGAACGTGGGTGTTCTGTCAATCAGAACACTTAGCCATGTTACAGGCTGCCACTGATGCACAAATCCATTACCCCGACATAAAATGCTCCACCAAAAAACAAATTAAATCACTTTATAGCTCTTAGCCGGATACACTGCCAGAATATTCAGAGGATGAAATATGTATGTGACTTCAAGAGAAGAAATTGAAACCAGGAGCCAACCACTTCTAAGCAGCGCAAATTAAACGCCAACGCTATGTATTTTCATGTCTTGTCTTGTTTGTCTTATTTAGATGGTAAACTTACTGGGGAAGGGGGAGACTCTGTCCCTTACTATATTCTATCAGCCAGTAGAGCATACGCCTCTTAGTACTTCCACTGCAAATAAATATTTATTGTCGTAGAGAGGAATTCATTTTTATAAAAAAGCAATGAAGAGGGAATCTGGAAGGCTTGATTCCTGGCCTCTGATGAAAATGTGGATAAGCCATTTCACCTTTCTTATTTTCCTCTCTAATAAAATGAAAGTAACCACTTTCCTCACCCAGGCCATGGTGTGAGGTTTCATTATACAATACCTGTGAAGTCAATTTAGCTCCTCAGAAGACTGGTGTTATATAAACAGCAAATATTATTACCATCATTGGGTTGAGTTGTATAACATCCCAGTGTTTCAGCCAAAAGATTTGAGAAGGATGTTGGTAGGTTTATGATACTTTATTTCATAAAAGTTGTGTTCTACTGGTTTTTTCATTACCAGACATTACTCTTAATAAAAATTTATTCCTGATATTTAGTAAACACTGTATTTTATAATGAAGCAGTTCAGTTCTGTGCATGTGTCAGAGAAACGTTTAATGAAACACAGGCAAATTAACACAGAGAGGGAGTGCCAGGGTCTTCCTCGCCTTCTAATCCCTTGTAAGTCAGAAGGAGGCTTTGAAGGGACGAATGCTCTCTGGAAAATATTGAAAACTATTTCATTATCTTAGTGATTTCTGAAGTATTAGTTTTTTCTGTAAATACCTCAAAGATTGCAGACAGTGTTCAAGTGAACTAGGGCTGTTATAAATAATATCATTTTTTTCGAAGGACCTCAAGGAGAAATTTCACTGATGTCACAGCCAAAATGCTCCCATCCCCCTGCCTAGCCAGGTCCCTGTTCCAACTGACCTCACTTATGACACATAGAAGAGCTAAGGTCGCACATGGATTCCAACTCAAGAAATAATGAGTGCCATTAGATTACCTTACTTTTCTGTTCAAGGCCTCCCCAAAATTATAATGATATGAAAGAAACTGTTCTTTTAGACAAAAAGATGAACTATATCAAGCCTGAGAAAAGAGAAGGCAGAAAGAAGTTTTAAAATTCTGAGTGGAGCTGCAATCAACTGCCCATCTCCAGATCCCACTTTCTGAAGTCAGGCTCAGACCCTAATAGTCTTAAGGTTCAAATGCCATTTCAACTGTCAGTAGCATCACATGGTTATTTTCCTTGAATGACCCAGTGTGGAATCTCAAGAACTGTTGCATTTATCCAGCTTCATAACTCCTTTCTAGATTGTGCAAACAGCAGAACATCTTAATCAAATTAAATTTTAAAAAATAGAGTGTGAAACATTAGTTTTCCAAATACAGCTTTTAGTCTATTAAGAATACATCATCTTCTGCTTTCCCTCATACTCATCAAGGGGCACATTTCATCAGAAATCAGGAAGCAAACCAAAGAATTACTTCCACTTTATCAAATCAGGCAAAAAACTGTATCCTAAAACATTTCAATCAATGGCAAAGTTTAAACTATATATAGGGATTAAAGACGAGGACTCTGAGAACATATAGTGAAATCAACATACATAACCTTGCAAAAATCATACAGGCCAGACTTGGGCCCAACAATCCAACACTAAGAAGTGAAGGTATCCTTATTTTAAGCCAGGCTCCTATTTAAATGTGTATTCCCGTTTTTATGATAATATGAATTCAGGAATTTTCCTTGGAAAACCTAATAATGATCCAAGATTACAGATTTCAGGAATTGGAGCATTACTAATTATCCTGTTCATGGAGGAAAACAAATGTTTGAACTGAGAGAATATCAGAAAAGGAAAGTGATATTCCTGACTAATTTCTTTTTACATGTCCAGATAAGATGACTGGCAAAAAAGTGACCTAGTTAGTTAATAATCAAGCCAGGGTGAAGGCCAATTTGATAACGTTCACTGCCGCTCTACTATCTCTTCATTAGTCCTTATGTCTTGCTGGGGTGGTCTAATTGAGCTAAACTGAAAAAAAAAAAAAAAAATCAGATTTCTCTTTCCAAGATAATTTTAAAAGAGTTAACACTCATTCTGTTTGTATGACAGATTAATGATAGAATAACTTGGGAGTCAGCAAAACTATGGCCCTTGGGTCAAATATGGCCAGCAAGCTATTTTGTAAATAAAGTTTTATTGGAACACAGCCCTGCTGTCATTTAGGTGGTGTCTGTGGTGGCTTTTGCACTGTAGTGGCAGAGTCTAGCAGTTGCAACAGAGACCTTATGACCCACAAAGCCTAAACTATTAACTATCTGTCCTTTTACAGGCAAAGTTTGCCAATCACTAGAGCAGAGTTTATTGCTAGATACAGTTATTTAAAAAAGAAAATCATTTTCCTTCAAAATAAGATATTTTTAAAAAGCAATTCTTCACTGAGATGACTGCTGAAGGAAGAATGAGTAAGTCTCAGGCATAAATTTTTCATTGTAATCAAAATCACATATGCCACCCAAACACTCGATTTTACTTCAGATGTAAGAGACTATACCATTTCATACTGGGTCTCATGAAGTGTGAAGGACTTCTTGTAAGAGAATGGAAATGACTTCTACTCCCTAGCATTTGATAAAGAATTAGGTTCTGATAAACTACAATTCTGATCCTAGCACCACAATGGGTATTAGGTAAAATAGAGTACTTTAAAAAATTCTGTTGATGGAGAAAAATGAACTACAATAAAATCACAACTGCTCTACCTTACATTTCACGTGAGGACTGCTCTCCCAGGGCAATATTCTTATCTGGGTAATTGGGCTAATACACCACGGTCACTTTCAAATACACTGTGGTATTTAACATGCACTATCAATTAGCATCTACTCCCTGAGCTCATAATTGACAATAGACAAGAATATATAGGACAACATAACAAGACAGGCCTCACAATAAATGGCTGAATTCAACCTAAAGCTTCTAGATTTCCAATCTCATAAGCAAAAGTGGGGGGCGAAGTAGGAGGGAATGACACCATGAATCAAATTCTCTACAGGTAATAACAAAACACATTTACTGCCTACAGAAAAGGAAATAAATCTCAGTTACTAAAAAAGGCCCTCATCACTCAGTTGTCATTGTGTCATTACTGGTTTGTAAAACACTTACCATGCCTGGGAATTAAAAAGCTGTTTTTAACAAATAGATGCTCTGATTTGTGATCATAATTACATAGATTTTCCATTTTATTAAAAGCCAATTTTAAAAACATTATTGGCTTATTCTTTTTTTAAGAAGTGAAAAAATACTCTCAGAATTGTTCTTCACAGGGGAACCATCCAATCTCATATTCAAGTTGATCTACAAATGTTAAATAATGTAGCCCTGCCATCTAGTGGCCATCACTGGGAACACAACTTTGGAACACAGCTTGGGTTTCTTTGAAACCCTGAATCGATTTCTCCTATTAGCTCCAAAAAAAAATCTTTTAACGAAAAACATAAAATATAAATCTAAGAATATGAATATAAAGTAAATTATGTATCATTAACCTGATGGACATCAATGGCAAAGAATTGTCATTCCGTTGAAATAAAGTTACTGCTACACTAGAAACTGATGAGGTACATTGTATTTGTTTAAAATATTTTTAGTTAAATCCACATAGATTTGTGGACTATATTTACCAATGCTATTTTCTTAATTTCACAAATATATGTATTTATGAATAAAACTAAATAATTTCTAAGTAATATTTTCCAAAAGAAAACATTATTTCAAAATCTGTGATATTAAAAATATAGATGACACTATCTCCATTTCTGTACTTTCCTGTCCAACTCTCAACTACCAAATGATTTACTTACTTCTTTCATTCTCTCATACAAGAATTTCCATAAATATTTAGAATAAAAACATTTTATCTTTAAAAATATAAAACTCCCTTTGGGAACCATTATCAATAGAATTTCTTGAATAGTCATTTGTCAACTATTTTTCAGTATAGAATATACACCAAACCTTACAAAGTTAACATTTAGTCAGTTTTCTTTCTGTTTTCTCCCAACAGTCTGATTTACATATGCTTTTGACAGAAGGTATATTAAACAATAAACACATATTTATGATACAAAGATATATAGTAAGTTATTACAAAAGATACTAGGTTATGTATAGTATAAGAACATCAGATACAGGAAGTATTGCTTCATTAATTTGTAAAAAGTAGAAATATGTATCTATTAACAATAAGGTCTATATTAGTTTTGTTTTAATAAATTATTTACTTTAAGGGTAATTTCCTATTTATCATCTATTAGTAATTTTTCTTTTCCTGCCTCTGACCATGTCTAAAATCCCATGGGCCTCATGAAGGCTAAGATTAACCTGAATGTAAACGAATTTGAAGATCCAGGTGAACTGGAGACAAATTCTACCATCTGAAACCCATTTATATATTCCCAAACCCACATGTAAATATGTACAAACCTAATTTTATATACTCTCACATGTTTTACAAACACAGACTGCAAGATCTCTTGAGAACTCTTTAAAAAAAATTGGTGTCTTGAGTAACTGTGGTATATAGTCTTGAATCTGAAAAATCATTATTGCTGGTAACAGGAAGCATGAAAAATGTGGAGGTCAGCAGCAAAGTGGTGGACATTACATTCTTGCATCTCAAAACTCTAAATATTCTATGTGTCAGGGTGCTCTCCATCAGTAATACTCTTTGAATCTAAGTATAAATTTTACTATACTCATGTTATAGTTAATTCTTATTTATTAAGCCAAGTATAAAAATCTAGCGTTGACTCATTGGATTTTTAAATTAACTATTACTAAAATTCACACGAAGCCGGGGCAGCAAGATTTGGACTCAAAGTCACAATCATATCACATTCTGATCTTATATTGATCTACTTTATCCCCCAAACCACCAGTTTTAATTACCACTGGAGGCAATGATATAAGAAAACTTCGACAGGCTTAGAAGGAAGAACTTTGACAGACTGTTGATATGTAAGGAAAACATTTACACACACACACACGCACACGCACACGCACACACACGCATATATACTCAACCACCTCTATATATAATTGGCTCCCCCAAGTATGGGTTTGGTTATTAATAAAATAGATCTTCATGGGGAGGGGGAGCACAGAATGCAATAATACTGGGATGTTTCTTCCATTAGATAAAATAAGGTCAATGTTTTCTTTTAAGAAGATTGCACTTTAAATAGTGGGAAAAAAGAGAGAGATTATGTATTAAATAATACGGTAATACCTAAAAAGAATTAATATATTCGTGGCAAGTATTACTATACAAGGAGTTATTGTTAACTTGTACTGTGACATACGTATTAGAAGCAGGCACTCACTATATACTTAATGGTAGAAAATAGCCAGATGAATTTATAATCAAAATGTATAAAAGAGAACCCCACTGACTTACCACCAGGCCACCCCCTCTCTGTAAATGCTTACATTTTCTAAGCCCAGGAGCACAAGAAGTGGAATTGTGGTCATGCCTCCTTGAATCCATTCCTCCAGAGAGACTGTTCCATCATGATCATAGTCAATTTCTTCCATCATTTCATGAAGGATCTGGAGAAGAGGAGATGAGGAAAAACTTGAAATAAATCAATAAAATAAATTTCATATGACACAACAAAGTATTGCACTGAATTGGTTATAATAAACTGTGACTAGCAGCTAGGTAGAGAGTTGAGGTAAATATCTAAATAACTCGGTACCATGTTAATCCTATTATTGAGCATATAGTAGCTTTGCTATGATTTCAAAAACCTGACTACTTACACTGATCAGCTTTTATAAATAAACGCTTAACTTATTAATATTTTGTCACTGGATGGTACAGCTTCAACAAGAAGGTATCTCTAAGCATGAAAGTGATCTTTAATTGCTTTCTCTAGATTACTTTAAAAAATTCAAATATATGCCAGACAATGACAGACCAAATTAACTTCACGGCAAAGAGCTGAAATAATTCTTCGCTAAGTGGTGTGGGGCGGAGGAATTAAGTTGCTTTTAACTGCCTATCAGACCTTAATGGAGCCAAGAAGTTAAACAATCAAATAATTTTTTGAGTAGATTTCTTTTCTAAGGAAAGTGTTCTCCGTAGTGTCTGTTTGTAATATATTTATCACTCGGCTGCATAGCACTAATATTAGCTGTTAATTCGAAGGGTTGTTGTGAGGTCAAAGGTGCTAATACATTATAAGTATCTTTGAAGAGTATCTAGCATATATAGTAAGTGTAAAATAGGTGTTGTTAGTGTTATATTAGCAGAAATTATATTTGCTAATATATATTACCCAAACATATTACCCCTGGCTGCTGGGAAGGCAAAGTACCTCCCATCTAATGGCACCAAAGTGGCAAACATGGTAGAATGCAGTGAAGGAAGTAACTCACCACATTTATCTAATATGGAGCTTTTAATCAACTTGAAAAAAGAAAGAAGTACAGAGAGCATTAGAAGAAAAATTTGAAAAGGTGCAATAAATGGAATAACTTGATATGCGGACAGAAGTATTATTTGCCTCAACATCCCTGAACTTAGTGGATTGGTGTCTTTCCTCAGCAAGTTTTTAAAAATCAGATTATTTTCCTTCATTGAAACAAACTTATCTATAGGTAGCAGAAAGAGACTCTTTGGAACAAAGTGATGTTCAAATAATTATTTCATCACACTCAAAATGAAAGACAAGGGAAATCATTTAGAATTGGGCAAAATGGCATAAGGTCTCATTAAAAGGCCCTCCCCCTTGAAGACACTCTGATGAACCAGCAGAAATGAACAAATGAGGAGAGAAGTAAAACACAGAGTGTTTGTTTCAGAGGGCTGATACTTTCATACTGTACTTAATAAATCTAATGGTAGAACCTGGGTTAGTTTTTAAAAACTCCCTTCGAGGGCATCTCAGTCTACCCTGAGCCATTAACCTGAAATGTACAATTCTCTTTAGTTACTATGCAAACTTACCAGGAGTCAGACAACGTGTACAAATGTACGCATGTGTTTAAAATGGGGAGAGCTGCTGAATCATCAGGCAGGATGAGGCAGTTACTATGACAGCAAACAGCCGTCTTTTATCTTTACTCTTTATACTGTCCACAGAAAGGGCAGACATGTCAGTATGTGTCACAAATGACTAATAATGCTATATAGCTTTTTATTTGTATTTTCCAGTAGGTATTTTTCCTAATTAGACTGCCCAACCACTAACTGTTCCTTCTTTAGAGCATCCAGATCCCTCTTTTCTCAAACCCCCCACCGCCAAATATGGTGATGTGGTGGTGCCTCCTTCTGCTTTCAAAGCTGATTGAAAAAGACCCCCTTCCCTCTATTACTCCAGTGAGGACAAGAGCCTTGACTGATAGGTGAATTATATTCACATGAACATAAAAGTGCATGTATCTTTTACATTTACAATGTTGTGTTTTACGTTAACATAACCAGAAAAGGCAGCAGAACTTATGAGTCCTTTGATTTCAGTGAAAATAGTATTAAGATGAATCAAACGGTATTCTTAGAATTAAATACGTCACCATCTACTTTATTATTCCATATGCATACTGCAATTCTGTTAATGATACCCGCCACTCATCATGTGCACAGCATGTGTGTTTCCATGTTCAAAAATAAAAAAAGGAAAAAGAAAAATCAGCTGAGTTAAAACTTGGAAAACCCTAATCCGAGTAAGAAAGGTGCTCTCCCTTTCCATGACATTGCATTGACTTTGTTGTACTTTAACCGCATTAGTTTGCAAAGCAAGGGAAAAGCTATCAGACCGCTCCTATCACATAATCATGCCATTACCATGCTGTTGACTGCATAAATGTGAATTTATGTGGTTAAATAGGCTCTTTGAATTCATACAAAATGTAAACCATTTACATAAAATTGATTTGTATTTACTTAATTAACGTACAATATGCTAAACTTAGTCGGTTTCAAAGAGAAACTAAAATCAATAATAATATTCTCCCCCAAATATTCCTGTGGCCAAAGTAAAAGTTGCGAATCATGTTTGTTTTAATACACATTTGAATGATGTTGTAGCTTTGGTATAAATCTATTGAAAATAAGAGGTTTTTAATGCTCTTATAGGCATTGTTAGATACTATTTCTTGAAACAATTTGATTAAAGTTTCCTAGCTCAATCTTTAACTAGCTGCAGAGTTTTGGGCAAGTAACTAACATTTTGGGGCCTCCCAGCAAGCCCGCTCCTGGGCATATATCCAGACAAAACTATAACTCGAAAAGATATATGCACCCCTATGTTCAGAGCAGCACTATTTACAATAGCCAGGACATGGAAGTGACCTAAGTGTCCACCAACAGATGAATGGATAAAGAAGATGTGGTACATATATACAATGGAATATTACTCAGACAAAAAAAGAATGAAATAATGCCACTGGAGCAACATGGATAGAGCTAGAGATTATAATACTAAGCGAAGTAAGCCTGACAAAGAGACAAATACCATATGATATCACTTATATGTGGAATCTAAAATATGACACAAATGAACTTAACTACAAAACAGAAACAGACTCACAGACATAGAGAACAGACTTGTGGCTGTCAAGGGGGAGGTGGGTGGGGAGGGATGGATTGGGAGTTTGGGGTTAGCAGATACAAACTATTATATATAGAATGGATAAACAACAAGGTCCCACTGTATAGCACAGGGAACTATATTCAATATCCTGTGATAAACCAGAATGGAAAAGAATATGAAAAAGAATGTGTGTGTGTGTATATATATATATATATATATATATATATATATATATACACACATTCTATATTCCCCAAATGGGAATATAGTTTTATATATATATATATATATATAACTGAATCACTTTGCTGTACAGTAGAAATTAACACAACATTGTAAAGCAACTATACTTTAATAAAATAAATGAAAAAAAATTGGGGGTCTCAATTTCCTCATCTGTAAAATGAATAAAATAGTAGTATCTACCTTGTAGAGTTATGAGCCTTAAATAACACATATGCAAAGATAACAGTGCACTGTGCATAGTAAACCATCATTAGTGTCTTCTTAATCGCCTTCATCCTCTTTTAGACTGAATATTTTAGCTATTTCCATATAAGGAAAATCATGGCGATCATAAAAAACATGTCAGTTCTGACTTTCTTGTGGCATGGTATGACCTTAGCAGTGTCATCGGCAGCTTCTGTTCACCTACACCTCTATTAGACTACCATGCAAATTAATTTCCATGAGGAAGAAAAGCAAAAGTTATTATCACTAAGGGCTTCAGAAAACCACATATACTTTTTCTTGTTCAGAATCCACTTCAGCTATTGATTAGAAATAGTAACTTAGAGTTATCAAAAGACATATACACACTATTATATATAAAATAGAAAACTAATAAGGACCTACTGTATAGCACAGGGAACTCTACTCAATACTCTGTAATGACCTATATGGGAAAAGAATCTAACAAAGAGTGGATACATGTATACGTACAACTGATGCACTTTGCTGTACACCTGAAACTAACACAACATTGTAAATCAACTATACTCCAATAAAAAATTTTTAAAAAATCAAATGCCAGTAATATATTAGGATTGCAAAAAAGATGAAAGAGAAAGGGGTCTTCTAGAATGTAGCCAACAGTTAAATCATTCCTATACCTACTGGATTAAGTTCAGTGACGTCCCATTCCAGGTACTCTGCCACATGCATCATCTGACTGATGATATTTTCTAGTTCCTGGAGGAGAGGGAAGGGGAGGGGAGGGAGGGAGGGAAGGAAGGAGAGGGAAAATCAATACAAGGTCTTAGTGAGTTCTTCAACTTTGACTTACAGGAATTGATTTGTTCAACATGTAGCTCAAAAACTAAAGGAGTGAGATGATTAATTTTATATAAAAAGTAAACATATACCTCTGCATTTTAAAGGCCTACTTAACTATACATAAAAGAAGAGCCTAAATATACATTCCTTTGTACTTTGTCTAGAAACCTTCACCAGGAGAGGGCACAACTATACAAAGAAAGGTTTTCTTCCAGGAGGAGATTTTTAAGAAATTTTTTGTTTGGAAAGCAGCATCTGATGGAAGTAGGAGCCTGCTTATTTTCACAAAAAGCTGTGATTTTTAAGTACTGAGTATCCTGACCCCACAGCTTGAAAACAGGTGTGGAAGGGCGGGAGGAAGGGTTTGAGGGCAGCTGAGAGTTTTATTTTTATTCTGATACACTGAGAACGTATACTGATGGTTCTAGCCATTTACTGGTAAAATTTGCTCTGCTAGAGGTGTTTGGAGGCTAAGTGCATGCAGAGTTTATTTCATGAGGGGATAGAATTTTAGTCTGAATTTTCACATTCTTCTGCTCAACGTCAACTCTTTGAAGAACTGCTGGTTAATATATATGCCTTGGCTAAATAAATTATAACATTTTTTCATACCGATTTATTTAATGTTTTAATTTTTCTGTATCTTCAGAAAAGATTAAACATACTTTGTGAATGCTAATAATTTTAAGGGTAGTCTGTCCATGACAATTAAAAGCGGTATTTCATAGTATGATAATTTAAAATATAAGAAGTATAAAGAATAAGGCTTGAAAGTATATTAATAAAATTTATTCTACTAAAACCTCTGATCTAATGTACGTGCATAATATGCATAAAATGAAGAAGAAAATATAGTAAAAGAGGGGTTTTTTTGGGGGGGATTCATGGATCCCTCTGAGAAGCTGATGAAAGCTACACTCTCTCTCTCCAAAAAAATATATATGGGGGCTTCCCTGGTGGCGCAGTGGTTGAGAGTCCGCCTGCCGATGCAGGGGACACGGGTTCATGCCCCGGTCCGGGAAGATCCCACATGCCGCGGGGCGGCTGGGCCCGTGAGCCATGGCCGCTGAGCCTGCACGTCCGGAGCCTGTGCTCCGCAACGGGAGAGGCCACAACAGTGAGAGGCCCACGTACCAAAAAAAAAAAAAAATATATATATATATATATATATGAAATCACGAAAATGTTATATAACACAGGTCATCACAGAAACAATGCAAATATAAATGTGTTTATTACAGATGAGAAAAATTTTAAACACTAATCCCTTGCAATTAGAGGCTAGAAGTGTGTGTGTGTGTGTGTGTGTGTGTGTAACTAATCTTCCAGTTACTTTATCTTTGCTTATATATGCCTTAATGGTTTGGAACTGTTAAAGTCTCTGGATATGTTTGGAGGAACAGAAGCTACTTTTGGTGGACTATTGTATACACATGTGGTACTAGATAAGTCATTTAACCTGTCTAAGTTTCCTCAACAGTAAAATGGGTATTCTAATAGTACCTAGTTCATAGAGTTGCTACCAAGATTAAATATGCTGTTATATGAAATACATTTATCTTATCTGGCACAAGTGATCAATAAACATTAACTAGCATTATTAGACATACTGGTCATTTCTCAAAGTATTAATTTTCTTCTGTTGTGTCTCCAGTATATGAACATAGCCTTTAAATTTCAAAGACAAATGATATCAGAAGGTGTGCTTCCTACCTGACAGTGAAGGAAATATCCTGGGGCAGTAAGTTATATGGAGAAAATCACAGAAATTAAATCCAGACCTTTATTTTAAAAAAGACTAATTTAATCATAAACAAACTTATTTATCCTCAGCTCATTGTTTAATATTGGGAATAAGTTATAAATATTGCTAGTAATCTACTATATGTTAACCAAAAAATGGCCAGAGACCAAGAAAAGCATTTGACTAAATTTTCTAATCAGCTGCCAACCCATGGCTAAGAGCCTAGTAAAGAAACATTGTTTTAATTTAATTAAAAAGAAAAAGAAAACAAATCTGCATTAAAAATATAATTTGCATTAGTGTAGTCAGAAATGTTACAATAAGCATATTGACATATGCAGAAGAAATCTAAACTTCTAGCCGTGAAATGCTACCAGAAAATGAGCAAATGTATCATGTTGTTTAATATTCCTAAGTGGAAAACTGAACACTACTAGGCACTTAAAAATAACAGCATTTGAAAAATTAGAAAGACCGTAACATAAGAAATCCCACAATCACAGCATCAATTCAGATTGGTGGTCATTTCCTAGAGTAGGAATTATATATTTTCATCTCTTTCTGGAGAAGCGAATGCACCATTATCCTACTCAGTGTTACATAAATATGTCTCTAACTTCACTGCTTTGCTTGTAACAGTCTGTTTGAGTTCTGCCATAGAGGGACATATCAGATGATGAGAGAAACTCATTATCAGAAATAATGTTTATTTTAATCAATATTAAATATATCAAAACATTTGTTTTTACATGTACCTATGTACTTCAAAATTTCCATAATGTGACACTTACTCTTTTGTTAATATTCTTATATTACCTTCATAGAACAGGACATGATATAATATACAAAATGTTAAATAGAAAATACATCATTGGTGGAAACTGAGATGGATATACTCAGGAGGCCCTGATTTGAGAACTAAGAGTCTAACTTCTCCTCTGAAAACTGTCAATGATTTGCATATACTACAAATAAAATAAACATTTAATTATTACTTTCTGTGAGATGGTATTTTTCTTCTATTGATTTTTATGAGTAAAATTATAGATAGAGTGCAAGTTGGATTTAAAATCGGATGAGAAGGGAAGTTTGCCAAAGCAGTTTTAAATATAATTACCCATTTCATCAACATATGTGAGTAACAGTACTTAAAAAGTGGGAAAATAATAAAATGATTGAATCAACTTCATAATTCCTTTAAATTCTACCTGTATTCTTGATACTTTCCTATATATGTGTGTGTATATATATATATACACACACACACACATTTTTTTTCTTTTTACATCAATGGTCTCATCTTTCTCTTATATTTTATTCAGACAGGGTTGAAGTCTTTTTTATCTTTCTGTACATAAAAAGTCACTTTTTTGTAGTAAAATTATTCAATAGAACAGCTGTAATCCTACCAGTTTCCTCAGATCACTTGCTTTCAAAAAGTCAGATGATGAAAATGCTGTGTGAGTGCATGGAAATTATATTGTATCTTCTGTGGTAATAGCTATAAATTTATTCATTGCATTTTTCAGAACAAACTACTTTGAAATTTTCACAGAAAATTTGAAGAAAAAAATTACCGAGCTGTCCAGGAAGCCATTTCCATCCGTGTCATAGAGGCGAAACATAACTAGAAATAAAAGAGGTGTTGAAAAAAAGATTATAGGTGAGTAAGATCAATGCTAGAATAAGGCATATTCTTTAAAATTTATTTTCTGTCAAAAACAAATACTACTAAATCCCTCCCCTCCTCAAAGCGATTAATTTTGGGAACATTTCTCAAGCTTAAAGATGAAGTAATCATTAATAAAAATACTGGATATCAGATATAAATTCTACCAATTTTTGTTATATAGCTAGAAAACACTAAAAAGTGCTATTGTCTGTTCAAATTTGTATTACAAGATCATTAAATGGAAATTCAAAATAACAGAAGAGAAGGAATTCAGACATTCAGAGTCTGAATATTAAAGGACAGAGTGGATAAGAAGAAATAACTAATTCAGAGGTCTGGAAATCAATTATAATTTGGAATCTACCATCCACTGTTATGTGAGCTTAGTCAAATGCTGTTTTCTTATCTATAAAATAAGGATAATCACCCTGTCATAAGACACACATTTGTTAGGGATAGGGGTTAAGAGGTATAAACGACTATGCATAAAATAAACTATAAGGATATACTGTACAAGGCAAGAAATATAGCCAATATTTTATAATAATTATAAATGGCGTATAAACTTTAAAAACTGTGAATCACTATGTTGCACATCTGAAACTTACATAATGTTGTAAGTCAGCTGGATATATATACGTATATGTATAACTGATTCACTTTGCTGTACACCTGAAACTAACACAACATTGTAAATCAACTATACTCCAATGAAAATTAAAAAAAAAAAGACATTTGTTGTGAAAGTGAGATGATACACACAAAGGTGTATCAAAAGCTGTAGGTCACTACACAAATATAAGCCATTGTTTTGATTAATCCTTAAGCAGTATGGGAAAGGAAAAATTAGTGCAAAATAAGGGAATTTTCCTGATAGGGGATGCAAAGACATAAATGGCATTATTATCATGGGTATAATGGTGTATTTGTTTAAATCGGAGATGTAGTTTCATAGGGTAACCACTCTTTGAACTAATCAAATGAGGAAAAAGACACTATTGGCTCTGTGCTAGGGAGCTCAGGAAAGCAGGATGGCAGAGGTCCATGCCCGGCCTGAGGATTCCCTTGTATAATTCACACACCACCAGGAGACTACAGAAGAGGCTGCAGGTGCCGTTTTGAGATAAACAGAGAAGAATGGCACAGCTGTAAAAATAGAGGAGTGGAAATGAGGGTTTGTGTTGGGTTTGTATAATTTCCTGGAGAGTCTTGATGTCTGAGGTCTATAATATTAACCAAAGACACTGACAACTAGGAGACATAATTATGCAATGACCTTAATCTGTAACTCATTGTTATTTTTATATTTAAAAATAAGTATTATATTTCAAAAATTCTAAGATATTTATAAGATGCAAAACTAGTCTGCACATCACTAAAAGGAAAAAAATGCTGCCAATCTAGCTAATGTGTTCTATTTGCTGTAAAATGGAAACAGACTTTAAAGATGTTGAAATGTAAGGGGAAATGTATACCTATTGAATTAAAGGATAGAATGTTAGGTTTGCTAAAGAATGTAAATATCTTGATTTGCAAACCATGATAACTGTTCTCTGTTATATATTAAATGAGAATAAAATTCAGAAAGAAAGAAAGAAACAAACAAAAAAATTTACCACAACATGGATACTAAGCATTTCAAGATTTTCTAGTGTAGCATAAAATGGTAAAAATACCTTTTTAAGTGGCAAAAATTCATACACCATTCAGAGAAGGGGTTAAGTACCAGGAACAAGGCAAGGACTTCCAAAACCTAACTATATTTTAGAATGAGGGATGCTTGTGACTCTGTTAATCCTTATTGGAGTAAATGACTGCTAAACCATTTCATACAGCTCAGGTATATGGACATTTACTTATGTCTACTGGTGATTCTTGTTGGAAACATGAGCTCAAAGACGTACACACAAGTGGGGTGGGTGTGTGGTACCTGTCATTCATTTTGGGCAGCATCTGAAACATCTTCCTAAATTCTGAAAGCCAGACTTTATAAAGCACAATAACAGATGAAAGGCCAGATACCTTCCTTTACTAGCCTGACTTGAAAATAGGGTTTGCACATGACCCAGCCTCTACCAATCAGAAACACAAGCCCAGATGATTAATCAGATGCTAGTGACCCAAGAAAAAAGGGGCTTCACAGAATCCATGCTGATGAGAGGCAGCAGCAACAGCAGTAATTGAAGAAAGGGGTGTGTGACAGGGATGGTAGCACTGAAAGGTGCTCTGTCTGTCCACAAAGAAGCAGTGATGGGTTGTCATATGTAACTATCTTTACTTACAAGTGATATGTTTGTACAATTAGAAAATTCTACTGAATCATCAAAAAGAATTGGAACGTATATATATACATATTTCATATATATATAAGAATTTACATTATGTATATACGTATTAGAACTTATGTAACTGATATGTTATCTATATCTTCTTATTAGAACATATATCATATGTATTATATTTATATTAGAACTTATATAACTATATAATTAGATCTTATATAACATATAGGTTATATGTTTTATATTAGAAATTATATAACATAAATATTAAGACATATATGTTTATATATAAATATACATAAGTATATGTATTTAGTGATATGGTCAGATTAAAAGGTCAGTTGCAGTTTTACATACTAGTGAAGAACAATTAGAAAACGAAACATAAAACATATCATTTATAATAACATCCAAAAACCTAAATATATAAGATAAATTTATCAAGAGTTGGACAAGACCTCTGTGCAAAAAATATAAAACTTCACCAAGAAAAATTATAGAAAACCTATATAAATGAAAAGATGTATTATGTTCATGAATTGGAAGATTCAATATCATTAAAATGTAAATTCTCCACAGATTGTTCTATATAACAGATACAATCTCAATAAAAATACCAGTAGCTTTGTTTTAAATATTAACATGGCTGATTCTAAAACTTACATAAAAATGAAAAAGACTTACGATACCCCAAACAACCCTGAAAAGGGAGAACAAATCAGAAGGATTTACATGACCTGACTTCAAGAGTTGCTAAAGATCAAGTGAATCAAGATAGTGACATGCTGACTAAGGGCTACACAACAGAACAATGGGAAATAGGAATATAGATAGAGATCCACACACTTATGGTCAACAGGGACAAAAGGAATTCCACACACTTATGGTCAACAGGGACAAAAGCAATTCAATGAGATAAGAAAAGTCTTTTCAAAAAATGATGATGGAACAGCTGGATGGATATTCATATTAAAAAAAGTACCTTGACCCTTACTTCACACCAAACATGAACATTAGGTCTAACTGAATTTTAACTTTAAAACTAAAATTTTTTGAAACTAAACTTTAACATTAAAGCAGCGCTATAAACCTTCTAAAAGAAAATACAGGACAATATCTTCATAACCTCAACATAAGCCAATATGAACCATCAAAGATTTTTAAAAAATAGGTAAATTAAACTTCATAAAAATTGGAACTTCTGCTCATCAAAAAGAAAAATAGAAGACTATTAAGAAAATAAATAAGCCAGCTGCAGATTTGAAAAAAAATTTTCAGAACACATATATCTAACAAAGGACTTGTTTCTACAATATATGAGCAAACCCTAGCTCAGTAATAAAATAGCAAACAACCCCATTAGTAAAGAGGCAAAAAATCGAACAGATGCTTCAAAAATGGAAGAGAGGTGAGTAGTCAGTCATAACAAAGTACTCAACATCATCAATCGTAAAGAAAATGGAAATTAAAACCACAATTAGAGACCATCATATGCCTTCTAAAAAGACTCCAGAATTCAAGTTTTTTCCCCAAGACCAGTCTACCAAAGCTGCTTACCTTCTCAGCCTCTAAGGTGCCTAAGAATTTACAGTTTAAAAATACTGGCAAAAGCCTGGCTCCCCGCTCCCAAAAATTTAACCCACAAATCCAACTTGCCTCGATAATTTCCTAAAATTTACAAACAGATTTTTTTAAAAAAAATATTGAGTTTAAATGTTCTAGTTGTTTCTAGCAGAAAAGTTGGTCTGAGAACACTTTACTGTTGTATGAAGTAGAAGCCCTAGTATATTTTTATATTAATTTCTACACACATTAACAGGAGTTAATGGCTGTCTATAAATCCTGTCTAATTCACCAAGGAACAAAGTTGGAGAACTTTATGTTCTAGTTAATAATTATAGCAATAATAAAAACAGTATACATATATTGAGCACTAAGTATCTTGTAGTCTAAATATCACCAATTATAAATCAATGATAAAACTTTTCTTTGATTCCGATGCGAGAGAGGAATTCTAGAACTTTAATTTTCAGAGGTAAGTCTACTTTCCTAATTTAAAATTGTAGTGGGGTCATGCAAAACAAGAAATATTGAACACACATATTTACATTGCCTTTCTACTGAAGGTCCACTACAGTAACAGTAAGGGATGAAACAGGCATAAACCCACAAGTACAAAGAAAACGTGAGAGGAGACAAGAAAAATAAAATTTTAGAAGCTGGAAAACACATGGTGTCTGATGTAGAAACCTGAGAAATATAGACGTAAGCTGGTGGTAAAGAGGAGGCACAGATTCACACAGAAAAGGAAACATAATCTTCATGAAAAGAAATTAGACCTTTAAACACTACCCCTCACAGCTTGCACCTGAGGGTATGCCAGCCCTCTACCTTAAAGCAGACTGGATCTTTGAGCTTTTTAGCAGTCAAGCCACAGGGACTCTGAGTTCAGGGTACTCAGGCATTCTGATGGTAGGGGTCCAATACCAAAGAGTGTAATCATGTGAAAATGGATATACTGAACATTGAGAAATGTTAAGTCCCCTTGCTCATCTCTAATGAGTCAGACTTAAACCTCATCTACCCACCCACCTACCCACAACCACCAAATAGTTGTTTCAAAATGAAGTAATTTGGAAGAAACCAGCAAAGCAGGGAGAGGGGAACCTTATA